CTAAACCAGGAAGAAGTCGAAACCCTGAATAGACCAATAACAAGGTCTGAAGTTGAGGCAGCAATTAAGAGCCTACCACACAAAAAAGCCCAGGTCCAGATGGGTCCACAGCCGAATTCTCCCAGACATACAAAGAGGAGCTGGTACCATTCCTTCTGAAACTATTCCAAATAATCCAAAAAGAGGGAATCCTTCCCAAATCATTTTATGAGACCAACATCATCCTGATACCAAAACCTGGCAGAGACTCAACAAGAAAAAAAATAACTTCAGGCCAGTATCCATGATGAACATAGATGCAAAAATCTTCAATAAACTGCAAACCGATTGCAACAGCACATCAAAAAGCTTATCCACCATGATCTATTAGGATTCATCCCAGAGATGCAAGGCTGGTTCAACATACGCAAGTCTATAAACGTAATTCACCACATAAACAGAACCAAAGACAAAAACCACACGATTATCTCAATTGATGCAGAGAAGGCCTTTGACAAATTCAACAGCCCTTTATTCTAAAAACCCTCAATAACTAGGTATAGACAGAACATATCTCAAAATAATAAAAGCTATTTACGACAAACCAACAGCCAATATCATACTGAATGAGCAAAAACTGTAAGCATTCCCTTTGAAATCTGGCACTAGACAAAAATGCCCTCTCACCACTCCTATTCAATATAGTACTGGAAGTTCTAGCCAGAGCAACCAAGCAAGAAAAGGAAATAAAGGGTATTCTTTTTTTTCTTTTCTTTTCTTTTTTTGAGACAGAGTTTTGCTCGTTACCCAGGCTGCAGTGCAATGGCACAATCTTGGCTCACCGCAACCTCCACCTCCTGGGTTCATGCAATTCTCCTGCCTCAGCCTCCTGAGTAGCTGGGATTACAGGCATGCGCCACTGTGCCCAGCCAATTTTTTGTATTTTTAGTAAAGACGGAATTTCACCATGTTGACCACGATGGTTTCGATCTCTTGAACTCGTGATCCAACTGCCTTGGCCTCCCAAAGTCCTGCGATTACAGGCATGAGCCACCACGCCTGGCCCATAAAAGGTATTCAAATAGGAAAGGAGGAAGTCCAATTATCTCTGTTTGCAGACGACATGATAGTATATCTAGAAGACCCCATCATCTCAGCCCAAAAGCTCCTGAAACTGATAAGCAACTTCAGCAAAGTCTCAGGATACAAAATCAATGTGCAAAAATCACAAGCATTCCTATACACCAATAACAGACTGAAAAAGAGCCAAATCAAGAACAAACTGCCAGTCGCAATGGCTACAAAGAGAATAAAATACCTAGGAATACAACTAACAAGGAACACAAAGGACCTCTTCAAGAACTATAAACCACTGCTCAACGAAATAAGAGAGGACACAAATACATGAAGAAACATTCCATGTTCATGGTTAGGAAGAATCAGTATGGTGAAAATGGCCATATTGCCCAAAGTAATTTACAGATTCAATGCTATTCCCATCAAGCTACCAATGACTTTCACACAGAACTGGAAAAAACTACCTTAAACTTCATATGGAACCAAAAAGAGAGCCCACATAGCCAAGTCAACTCTAAGCAAAAAGAACAAAGCTGGAGGCACCACACTACTTGACTTCAAACTATACTACAAGGCTACAGTAATCAAAACAGCATGTTATTGGTACCAAAACAGAGATAGAGACCAATGGAACAGAACAGAGGCCTGAGAGGCAAAACAACATTATCTACAACCATCCGATTTTTGACAAACCTCACAAAAACAAGCAATGGGGAAAGGAGTCCCTGTTTAATAAACGGTGTTGGGAAAACTGGCTAGCCATGTGCAGAAAGCAGAAACTGGACCCCTTCCTGACACCTTACACTAAAATTAACTCCATATGGATTAAAGACTTAAACATAAGACCTAACACCATAAAAACCCTAGAAGAAAATCTAGGCAAGATCATTCAGGACACAGGGGTAGGGAAAGGACTTCATGACCAAAACACCAAAAAGCCAATGAAAGCCAAAATAGACAAACGGGACCTAATCAAACTCCACAGCTTCTGCACGGCAAAAGAAAGTCATTAGAGTGAATCAGCAACCAACAGAATGGGAAAAAATTTTTGCAGTTTACCCACCTGACAAAGGGCTGATATCCAGAATTTACAAAGAACTAAAACAGATTTACAAGAAAAAAAAAAGCCCATTCAAAAGTGGGCAAAGGATATGAACAGATACTTTACAAAACGAGACATACATGAGGCCAACAAACATTATGAAAAAATGTTCATCATCACTGGTCATTAGAGAAATGCAAATGAAAACTACATTGAGATACCATCTCACATCAGTTAGAATGGCGATCATTAAAAAATATGGAGACAACAGATGCTGGAGAGGATGTGGAGAAATGGGAACACTTTTATACTGCTGGTGGGAGTGTAAATTAGTTCAACCATTGTGGAAGACAGTGTGGCGATTCCTCAAGGACCTAGAAACAGAAATTCCATTTGACCCAGCAATCCCATTACTGGGTATATATCCAAAGGACTATAAATCCTTCTACTATAAGGACACATGCACACGAATGTTCATTGCAGCACTGTTTACAATAGCAAAGATCTGAAACGAACCCAAATGCCCATGGATGACAGACTTGGCAGGGAAAATGTGGCACATACACACCATGGAATATTATGCAGCCATCAAAAACGATGAGTTCATGTCCTTTGTAGGGACATGGATGAACCTGGAAACCGTCATTCTCAGCAAACTGACAGAACATAAAATCAAACACCGCATGTTCTCACTCACAGGCGGGTGTTGAACAGTGAGAACACACGGACACCAGGAGGGTAGCACTACACACTGGGGTCTGTTGGGGGGAAATAAGGGAGGGACAGCAGGGGGTTGGGAGTTAGGGAGAGATAGCATGGGGAGAAATGCCAGATATAGGTGAAGGGGAGGAAGACAGCAAATCACACTGCCATGTGTGTACCTATGCAACAATCTTGCATGTTCTTCACATGTACCCCAAAATCTAAAATGCAATTAGAAAAAAAAAAGAAACACCATCTCAGAGTTGTGATGATGTATATAAATTGTCTGGCAAATTTAATATGGATTGCATTTTAGTTCCTTTCCCCTTTCACAATGTGATTAATTATTTATGTACAGACATGTATACATAACATCTTCTTTAAATAGAGCTCACCTACTGTTATTGATTAACTGTATCCTCCTAAAACTCATATGTTGAAACCATAAATCCCAATTTGTCTATATTTGAAGAGAGAGAGCCTTTAGGAGCTAATTTATGTTAAATGAAGTCCTAAGTGTCAGATCCTAATTCAATAGGATTGGGGCCTTTTAAGAAAAGGAAGAAAGAATGAGATTTCTTTTTACCTCTCCACATGTGTACAAGAGGTCATGTAAGCACATAGTGAGAAGCCAGCCACCTACAAGCCAAGAAAATAGTCCTCAGAATAGAACCGAATTTGCAGGCACCTTGATCTTAGACTTCCCAGCCTCCATAACTGTGGGAATTACATATCTGTGGTGTAAGCCACCCAGTATCTGATGTTCTATTATGGTAACTCAAGCAGACATGATACACCCACAAATTTTTTCTTATCTAAATAAAGAGAATATTACAATTTAAAGAAGAACAGGTAAGGATGACATAAGAAAAAGCTGTAAAATATTTTATTCTTCCAGTTTACCTATTACATTTTAAATAATAAAAAGGCAATGGATTTAAATGTGAATAGTTTGTTTGATCAATTTTCCACCTGCCCCTGAGAAATCAGTAACTTTTTATTAAAGCTTGGTATTAAACCATTGATTCATGGAACCTCATGCATATTCTAGAACTTTCAAGTATTTAAAAACTATACTAGAACTGCTAAATCTTTTCAAAAATCTGGAACACCTAACAATCATTTTTTGAAATCTTGAGAAAAATTAATGAATGGTAAAATTAAATTTATTTTTCTAAATCATATTCAGCATTCTCATTTTACCCAGCTTAGTGTCTAATACATGAATGAAGCTCAATAAATATTCTGAGAGACTGGGCCGGGCGCTGTGACTCACGCCAGTAATCCTCAATAAATATTCTGAATAAACATTACAGCCAATAACTTAATGCAAAATGCTCAATCCTGACAAACCTGTTTTAAGGATAACTGCATAACATGGTAAGGAATTGCAAGAATTTTGAAACACTGATTCTTTAAAAAGAAATCTTTTAAGTTAACTTTCAAAAAGTATAAGCAACTGCATTTTTCTTTTAAAGAGATAAGAGACAACATAAACCAAAAATCTACTTGCCTAAATTGTTTATATGAGCTTTGGGAATATATTAGTTACAGACAATTCAGTGAAACTTAGTGGGAACCACACAATCACGAGTATCTGTAAGTATTCGGTTTTCACACAAAATAGGGCTACAAACCTATCAGATGCCCAGCAAGAATAAGGAGAAATCCCTTGTTTATTATCAAAAACTCATACAGGACATATTATTTATAAATACACAGTTAACTATGTACAGAATTTAAAAAAGGAAAATCAATCTACTTAAACATATTAACTCTAAATAAGAAAATCAGACCTAACTCCTGTTTCTCCATACTAGGCACAATTATTTTCAAAGTTATATAATATGAAGGTTATCAATCTTAACCATTTGCCCTAACATCATTATGTATTTTCTCTTTTAAAAATGGCAATAACAAGTGACACATGTTCTAATAAAATCTGGATCACAGATAGCAAATGACAGGATATGAGACTCAATCACTTTTAATTATTATTAAGTTTGTGTTAGTCTTTATTAAAAACAAAAAAATAATTAAAATTTCAGACAGTGATGTACATGATATATATAAGAATATAATCAAAAAGTACATTTCTACCACCCTACCATAGCAATAATTTCAATGGGTTATCCTATACCAAATCCAAGTGTTTACATCCAAGGTGTCACAGAGGTAGCTTCCTTTTGTACCTAAAGTAAAAATAAATCCATTTAATAGAAGATAATAAGATACGAGTTCATTTGTGAATTGCCTAACAGCTCTAGCGTATTAAAATTCTAACCTAAGACATACATATATTGTAAACCAAAAGAAATTGGCTGGCATATGGAACAAATAATGTCTATTTTGTAAATGAGAAAAAGAGGCAACATTTAATGACAGACCTTATAAAATCTCAAAGAGAGCTAAAGGTTTCCTGCTGTTTTTTTTATATCTTTATAAAGTCTGTAACTGCCACTCTGTTTTAATAGGCACTTAGTATCATAACTTGAAAGTTTCTAATAGGTAGAATAGTCCAAATCTGGTTTCCCTTCTCTACAAAAGTGACACTTCATTGCAATACCACAGCACTGAACAATAGTTGTTTCATCCAACCAAAAAGATTAATCAAAAAGTAAGACAGAAAATAATGAATTTTCCAGGCATGGTGGTTCATGCCTGTAATTCCAGCACTTTGGGAGGCCGAGGTGGGTGGATCAAGAGGTCAAGAGATCCACACCATCCTGGCCAATATGGTGGAACGCTATCCGACTAAAAAATACAAAAATTAGCTGAGCACGGTGGCATATGCCTGAAATCCCAGCTACTTAGGAGGTTAAGGCAGGAGAATCACTTGAAGTAGGGAGTCGGAGGTTGCAGTGAGCCGAGATCATACCAGTGCACTCCAGCCTGGCGACAGAGCGAGATCTGTCTCAAAAAAAAAAAGAAAAGAAAAAAGAAAATAATGACTTAAACCACTGCTCAAAAGTCAAAATCCTCAAGATTCAATAGAGTAATAATATAACTATGCTCTAATTTTAGTTTATTTTGTGCTTGGGTTTATATAAAAACTGCTTCAAAAAATACTCAAGTTTCTACTTACACAGCATACAATGTTACAGATGACAACTTTGAGCTTGGCCTTTTCTAGGACTTAAACTCACTTCTTTCCCTAGAAAGACTGTAAAGGGTCCCTATCTGTAATTAAAAAGGGATGAAGTCAAAGCAGAAGCTATTCAATAGCTGTCCTCCAGAACTATTGGGGCATGTTTAATAAAGAAATATAAAAAGCAATTTGCTGAAGTTAATTTTTAAAATAATCACAGAGAACAGAGTCAAGGGTTTTCTCACATTTATGTCCCTAATTAAAATAAATTGTCAGCATACCAATAAGAAAATAATGAATAAAATTACTGCTTTTCAGTTACCTTATTGAGCTCTGGAAACAGTTCTTGTATCACAATGTCCAATAAAACATAAGTCAGCTAAAGCACCAAAAATAATAATAAATGTTAAGGCACTAAACATAAAAACCATAAAAATGATGAACACAAAATTAAAGACTGTGGTTACATCTAAGTGCAAAGGCAGGGAATAGCACTGATACTATAATACAAGCACAAAAGTAGCCTCAGTAGTATCAATAATGTTCTATTCCCAAAACAGGTAATAAGTACACATGTGTTTGCATGAGGACACTTCATCATGCCTCACTAATTCATTTTTATGTTAAATATTTTATATGTAACAAAAATTTTTAGAAAAACAAGAACACAAAATTACAACTGCATTAAGATCTCAACAGAATATATAAAGTTTATATATAGTTTATATAAACCATAAACATAAAAATGTTAACTAGTTATTCTATGTGACTTGAATAATGGAATTACCGATTTTTAATTTTTTACTGTATTTCATGAATTTTCTACATATTCCAAATTTTCTGCAATGACTATGTATTAATCTTAAATCAAAGCAAGAAAAAGGTAACTGATGCAAAAAGAGTAACAAATAAAACTTTTTTTATCTGAATGTTTAAAGTATATTGCCTTGATTTAGTGTAGAGTCTTTTATACAGCTAATGATTTACCAGAAACCCTACTATGTCATTCACCAAACCTAGCTAACACGAATGAGTTTTACCTGCTTGTTGAGTACTGGCTGCTGTAAGCCATCAAACAGAAGTCTGATGCTTTCATACTTGGTTTCTTCACCAATACACTTGACTAACAGATCTAAACAAAAAGGCACATGTGAAATTATTTTATTTGTATAAAGTGACTCATCATTAACTGGATCATAAAGCAAAATCCCCACCCTGTTTCCCAGATATTAGGCAAAATCTGACAATAAGTACTCCCCAAACCAATGTTTCTATAAGAGGCTCCCAGACAAGAGGTATCTATGGTCAAGTTGACAAATACAGTATCATGTATCCCATTTTTGGAGATTTACAATGCACAAAGCCTAATGCAAACTCTGAGAAATGCTGCAGCAAAAAAATTAAAAAATAAAAAAAAATCTAATTATACTAACACCCAATGGAGCATAAGCCTACTCCTATACAGTGGGCAGAAGATGGCTTCTGATTTTTATTCTATGTATTTTCAGAGTGCTCTTAATATCAGAAAAAAAAAAGTTTAATTTTTAAGGCAGACTTTTCTCAGTGAATATGAATACCTAATTTCTGGACTTTTGCATAAGTTACTATTAACCATCTTACAGACCAATCATTTTGGGAAATTTAACAAATATTCAAACAATTTTAAAGGGTCCAACAAGTTCAGCTTGTGTCTGGCTGTATAGATGTCATGTACCACTGATATCAATTCTGTTACCAAGAAGAGTCAATTCTTATTAAGATCTCCACTGACTGTTTTCCCCAAGCAGAAAAAAGGTATTCTTAAGCAAACAGGGTACTCAAATATTTATCCTTTTCCCCCTATCGTAACTAAACTCCTAGTGTTAGTCATAAAAAATTCCAACACTAGGAGGCAAAGGCCAAATTTAATTTACAATAGGCATAGTACATTCTGGGTATTTTCAAGATATGTGGCCCAATACAAATCTTTGTTAATTCTCAAACTCACCAATACTACATGGAATTTCCCAATTAATATGCATGAAACTAATGAACAAATATAACTGATTCTTTCAGATCCTTCAACTGTCACTAAGAGTTGAGGAGCAGAGGATAACAGATAAGCATGCTAAGCTTACTCAAGAGCTAAGTTACTCTCCCAAACAGGAGTCTTAAAGTGAATGGGGTTTGAAAATAAAAAATTATTGTATTCTCTGGCTCTCCATGTTGTTTCTGAGTATCAAAGCTGACACTATTGAAAGTATGAATGCTAAGGGTCACTATATCAGAGAACAGGTAAAAAAAATTATTTCATCATTTGCCTACAGAAAACTTAACTCAAAAACAACTTATGTTCACTTTTACATTCAGAACAGATATTTAACTTATTTTCACAAGGAACAGCAGAACTATTCTAAGACTAGTTCTTCAATGTTAAGAATTCTCTAAGGTTCTGTCCTAAGCCCTCTTTTCTTTTTAAAATAGACTTTATGTTTTAAAGTAGTTTTGGGTTCACAATGAAACTGAGCCTGTCCCAAAACATGCTGTCTCCCCCACTATCAACATCCCCAACAAGAGTGTACATCTGTTACAATTGATTAACATGCACTGGTACGTCATTGTTACCCAGAGTCCATAATTTACACTGGAGTTCGTTCTTGGTGTTGTACATTCTGTGGGTTTGGACAAACAGATCATGTAACCACGATTACAGTATCATAGAGTAGCTTCATTGCCCTAAAAATCCTCTGTGCTCTGCCTATTTATCCCTCCCTCCCCTCCAATACACTGTCTTCTTAGTTTTGCCTTTTCCAAAATATCAGATAGTTGAAATTATACAGTACATAGTCTTTTCAGATTGGCTTCTTTCTCTTAGTAAGATGAATTTCAGGCTCCTCCATGACTTTTCATGATGTGATAGCTCATTTCTTTACAGCACTGAATAATATCCGATTGTCTAAAAAGTGTGAGTTTTATTTACCCATTCACCTAAATAAAAAACACCTTGGTTGCTTCCAAATTTTGGCAATTCTGAAGTTGCTATAAACACTCATGATCAGGTTTCTGGGTGGACATGTTTTCAACTGCTTTGGGTAAACACCAGAAACATAATTGCCAGATCTTATGATAAGAGTATGCCTTGTTTTGTAAGAAACTGCTCACCTGTCTTCCAAAGTGGCTGCACAATTTTGCATTCCCACCATTAGTGAATGAGAATTGCTCCACATATTCACCAGCAAATGGTACTGTTGGTGTTAAAGATCTGGGACATTCTAACAGGCGTGTGGTGGTATCTCATGTTTTAAATGTGCATTTCCTTGATGACATATAATGTGGAACATCTTTTCATACGCTTTGGTGAGATCTCAAGACGTGGCCAATTTTAAAATCAGGTTTGATTAGATGTCAATAAATTTGGCCAATTTTAAAATAAGGTTGTGTTCTTAGTGTTGAGTTTCGAGTTTTCTTCGCATATTTTTGATAACAGTCCTTTATCTGGTATGTCTTCTGCAATTATTTTCTTCCAGTCTGTGGCTTCTCTTTTCATTCTCTTTATAGTATCTTTCACAAAGCAAAATTTTTTATTTTAATCAAGTAAAGATTATCAATTCTTTCTTCCATGGTTCACGCCTTTGGTATTGCAGCTAAGAAGTCATCGCCAAACAGAAGGTCATCTACCTTTTTTTCCATGTTATCCTCTAAGTTTTACAGTTTTGCTTTTTACAGGTTGGTCTATAATTGATTTTGTTGTTATTGTTTTGAGACGGAGTTTCAGTCTGTTGCCCAGGCTAAAGTGCAATGGCACAATCTCAGCTCACTGCAACCTTTGCCTCATAGGTTCAAGTGAATCTCCTGCCTCAGCTTCCTGAGTAGCTGGGATTGCAGGTGCCTATTACCATGCCTGCCTGATTTTTGTAGTTTTAGTAGAGATGGGGTTCCAACATCTTGGCCAGGCTGGTCTCGAACTCCTCACCTCAGATGAGCTGCCCGCCTCGGCCTCCCAAAGTGCTGGGATTACAGGCATGAGCCACCATGACCTGCCCGGCCTATAATTGATTTTGAGTTTAGTTTTTGTAAAGGGTATAAGGTTTGTGTTTAGATATATATATATTTTTTTTTGCACATGGATGTCCAGCTGTTTCAGCACAATTTGTTGAAAAGACTATCTTTTCTTCATTGTATTGCCTTTGCAACTGTCAAAGATCAGTTAACATTATCTATGTGGGTCTACATCTGGGCTCTCTATTCAGTTTCATCCATTTGTCTATTCTTTTGGTAATATCACATTGTCTTGATTACTGTAGCTTTACAGTATGTCTTGAAGTAAAGTAGTGTTAATCCTCTGACTTTGCTGTTCTCAATAAACACTGAGTTGGCTATTTTGGGTCTTTTTGCCTCTCCATATAAACTTTAAAATGTTTGTCAATACCCACAAAACAACTTACTGGGATTTGGGTTGGGACTGCATTGAATCTTTAGATGACAGAATAACTGACTTCTTGAAAACAGAGTCTTCCTATCCACAAAGTATTTCTCCATTTATTTAGTTCTTTGATTTCTTTAATCAAAGTTTTATTCTTCACATATAAATCTTGCACGTGTTTTATTACTCCTCAAGTATTTCAGTTTTGGGGGTACTAATCCAAATGGCATTTTTAAAAATTTCAAATACCGCTTGCTCATCAATGATATACAGGAAAAGTGACTGAAGTTTGTGTATTAACCTTATATCCTACAACCCTGCTATATCTGCTTATTATTTCCAGGAGTGTTTTTGTCAATCATGTCATCTGTGAACAAAGACAGTTTTATTTCTTCCTTCCCAATCAGGATGCATTTTATTTCCTTTTCGTATCTTACTGCACTAACTAGGACTTCCAGTACAATGATGAAAGCAGTAGTGAGAACATGCCTTGTTCCTCATCTTAGTGGGATAGCTCTTAAGTTTCTCATCAAGTGTGATGTTAGCTATAGGTGTTTCTGTAGACATTATTTATCAAGTTGAGGATCTTCCCCTCTATTCCTAGTTTGCTGAGCTCACAAGTGGGTGTTAGATTTTGTCAAATGCTTTTTCTGCATCTAATATTATTATCATGATTTTTCTTCTTTAGCCTGCTGATGTGACAGACTACATTAATTGACTTTTAAATGAATGTTGAACCAGCCTTGAATATCTGGGATATATCCCATTTGGTGTATAATTCTAACATCCCTGCCATTCAGATACTTGCTCTTTCTCATCTAACTGTATTTTCTTGCCTTTAATGTCTTGTACTTTTTTTCTTGATAGCTGGATATGATTCACTGAGTAAGACACAGTGCTGCAAAGAGGCCTTTAATAATGTGGTGATAAAATATGGAGGCAGAGGAAGGGTTCTATAGTCCTAGGAGCGGGTATCAATCTTTTAGTTAGCCTGTACCACTGAACTATGAACTTCACACATGCTTCTCAGGTTCCCCTGACCCCCTTGCATGGGACAAGATGGCTAAAGTGGACTGTTGGGTATATTTCTCTTCTTCCATGCAGAAGGCCAGAGCTGGCTGGAGTTGGTTATCTCCCTTCCCTCAGGTCAGTCAGGCTCTGGTTACATAGTTTCTCCTGACAGTAAGGCCTTGTCTCAAAGAATAGAATGCCCTGAATGATGTATTTCAAAATGGCTCCCTTCTGGCCCCCCTGCCAGAAGCACAAGGAGATTTTTCTCCAGTATTCACTGTGGGTTCTTGGTCAAGGCCCTGGCGGTAAAAGTCACAAAAAAGTGGGCCAGTAATACCAGCACTTTGGGAGGCTGAGGCAGGTGGATCACAAGGTCAAGAGATCAAGACCAGACTGGCCAACAGGGTGAAACCCCATCTCTACTAAAAATACAAAGATTAGCTGGGCGTGGTAGAGCATACCTACAGTTCTAGCTACTTGGGAGTGTGAGGCAGGAGAACTACCTAAACCAGAAAGGTGAAGGTTGCAGTGACCAGAGATTGGGCTCCAGCCCTGAGACTCTGTTTCAAAAAAAAAACTGTGGGGCCGGGCACGGTGGCTCAAGCCTGTAATCCCAGCACTTTGGGATGCCGAGGCAGGTGAATCACGAGCTCAAGAGATCGAGACCATCCTGGTCAACATGATGAAACCCCATCTCTACTAAAAATACAAAAAATTAGCCGGGCATGGTGGCGCGTGCCTGTAATCCCAGCTACTCAGGAGGCTGAGGCAGGAGAATCGCCTGAACCCAGGAGGCAGAGGTTGCGGTGAGCTGAGATTGCGCCATTGCACTCCAGCCTGGGTAACAAGAGCGAAACTCCGTCTCAAAAAAAAAAAAAAAAAAAAAACCTGTGGATGGGCCGGGTACAGTGGCTCAGGCCTGTAATCCCAGCACTTGGGGAGGCTGATGTGGTGATCACCTGAGGTCAGGAGTTCGAGACCAGCCTGACCAACAAGGTGAAACCCTGTCTCTTCTTAAAATACAAAAATTAGCTGGGCGTGGTGGTGCATGCCTGTAGTCTCAACTACTCAGGAGGATAAAACAGAAAAATTACTTGAACCCGGGAGGCAGAGGTTGCAGTGACCTGAGATCATGCCAAAGTGTGGATGGGTAACCCCATGTCTTGGTTCCCCTGGAGTTTTTAATCTCTTAGAAAGAGATTTAAAAGGCTGCAGCAATTTGTCAGTTATAGTTCAGGTTTCCCTACATCAGCAGTGGCTTCTCCAGAGGTTTGAGTTCATGGGTTTCTGCTCCAGCTAGCTATGATTATCTCCAATCTAGGAGGTAGTGGTTTGCCATATGACCTCACTCTCTGGTAGACCTAAGAGCTGTTTAGTTTTTTTTAGTTCATTTAGCTTTTTCCTTGTTACTAGGATGGAGTGATGATGTCCAGGTTCTCATGTGCCAGACCAGAAACTGGAAGTCACCCTTTTCTCTTCTTACTCCATACTTTCTTTCTGTGCTTTAGTATCTACTCACACATGGCTCCCATAGCTCTACTAATCTATTCTATACCACCTTTTCTCCAACCTTTGAACCTAGATGTCTAATTGCTTAATAGACTGCTGAATAATTTATAGGTACTTTTCATTCAAAATGTTCTAAACTAAGACTCTTCTGCTTTGACCCCTTGACCTTTTTTCCTTGTTATTTTTCATCACAGTAAGAGGTTATTATCATTGATTTCTGTAGTGGCCCAAACCTACTATCTTCCTCCTTTGTGATACCTCTGTAACTTGAACATGCCTCTGTTATCACATGTATGTTTTGTCTGTATGTCTGTCTTCCTGCTAGACTGAGCTACTCAAGTACATTTTCATATCTCTTGCATTTTATATAGTGCCTAGATTATGGAAGATGCTCAATAAATTTGGAATAAATAAATTCTGATCTTTTAGTCATATATACTAGTGAGCAATGCTTATGGTGTAGTGGGCACAGGCCTCCAATTGTCCCACAAAATGTCACTTTGACCAATCTGATTCTATTTTTTAATGAGTCTGGCTATTATGTGAACAGACACAGCCTTGCCTTAAAGTTCTAACATCTTAGTCCTAGTGCTAACATCTGAAAGAATTATTTAACTAGTGTGTTAATTTTAACTATCTTTGCAACTTTTTGTAAAATGAAAACTCACAGTAATATTAGCTTCAATAATTACTATACATTGTGACCTCAAAGGATTGCTAATCTATACGAAATTGAGTTATTACACCTGGAATGTAATTCATCATTTCTTCAAAAGTCTGTTTTGCTCCTTTCTGCTTATCTTGGAGAGAGCGAGGTTCAGTGTTTTCACAGAATATAGCATCTAAAAAAAAAAAAAAAAGAAGTAAAAAGAAATACTTCTGGAATTTATATCTACTTATACACAAAGGATTTCCTCATAGTAGAAATACTAATAAACCAAAGCAAAACAAGATTTCTTTCTCTTTTAGATTCAATTAAAATCACAGAATACACAAAACATGAAACAAACACATGAGAAGATACAAACCTCGAAGAAGTGTTATGAGTGAGACCAAACGGTGTTCCTGAAATAGTTGTTCTAGTTTACACTGAAGATAGTAATCAGTATACATTTCCAGGGTGTTTTTAAAGAGGATTCGAGTTCCCATTAAGAGATGATGAAGCCAGTCAGGAACCTGGAAAACTACACGTCCTGAGAAAGGATAAAATAGGATACCTCATTGTTCTAGATAACTGGTATTTTTAAAAATTTTCTCATGTAGAAAACACGAAAGACAATGGTCAATCTTTTATTTGTAAACACTAGCAATTTTAATATGATCAAGGCCAAATGTACTGAATTTTTATAAAAGGTATCTTCAATTAAAAAAAGAGTTATGGGCTGGGCATGGTGGCTCACGCCTATAATCCCAGCACTTTGGGAGGCCGAGGCGGGTGGATCACGAGGTCAAGAGATCGAGACCATCCTGGTCAACGAGGTGAAACTCCGTCTACTAAAAATACAAAAATTATCTAGGCATGGTGGTGCCTGCCTGTAGTCCCAGCTACTCAGGAGGCTGAGGTAGGAGAATTGCTTGAACCAAGAAGGCGGAGGTTGCAGTGAGCTGACGTTGTGCCATTGCACTCCAGTCTGGGTAACAACAGCGAAATCGTCTCAAAAAAAAGAAGAGTTATGATGGGGCAATATTCAAGATCATTATTTGCATCACAGAAGAAGTAAGATGAATGAAAAACAAGTCTTAAAATAAACCACTTAGATCTTACCTACATACATCAGGTAGTCATAGACTCCTTCTACAGTCATCACCTCCATAAAATAATTCTGATTTTGCTTTCTTTCTGTATTTTCAGCACGGTTTGCATTATTTTTAAACAGATCATTGAAAAGCTAAAATAAAAGTTGGAATAATAAAGAGATATACAGTTCATTATATCTGCTGACAATAATCACTAAGGATGAAGTGATACACAGCAAAGGCATTTAAACCTTTTCCAATCAAAACAGAATATTAGATAGGTTAATAATGCTTCTAAAATTCCCCATTTATGCCCCAAATTGGATGAAAAAATACATGTTCCCCAAAAATATTACATAAAACAAAAATATTCATTTTAATTACAGCAGATAATTCATTACCCATAAAAGACCCCCTCCTTTATTTTTATATATCACAAAAGCAAAGTAACATAAAAAGATGTAGAAATATATTATTGATAGTTAACTTTAAAACTAACATGATTTAGTCCAGGCGCGGTGGCTCACGCCTGTAATCTCAGCACTTTGGAAGGCCAAGGAAGGTAGATCATCTGAGGTCAGAAGTTCAAGACCAGCCTAGTCAACATGGTGAAATCCCATCTATACTAAAAACACAAAAAAATTAGCTGGCTGTGGTAGTGCACACCTGTAGTCTCAGCTATTCAGGAGGCTGAGGTAGAAGAATAGCTTGAATCTGGGAGGTGGAGGTCACAGTGAGCTGAAATAATGCCACTGCACCCCAGCCTGGGGACAAAGCAAGACTCTGTCTCAAAAAAAAAAAAAAAACACCGAACACGATTCAAAGATTATAAATCACTATGAGCAGAGGTAAAAATACAGCTTTAAGCAAAGTTTATTTGGACAATATTCAAAGCCCAGAAAGGCCTAATCAATGTGGAAAAAAAAAAGACATTAAGAATCAATCATGGTAAAAACGATAAAATGTCCCTAAATCTTATACCAACTTACTCCAAAAATATACAAAAAGAATCCACTATCAATAGTAATATATCCTAGGTAACTAATTTTAACAAAAACATTACTTTCATTCATTTAAACATCCATTTAATAAATGTACTAAGTACTTTCTATGTATAGGATGGTGTGCCAAGGGCAGGGAATACAAAGATAGATCACTGTTCTCCAAAAAATTTAACATCTAATAGAAACAGGTCAAGAAATAAATAAAATAATGTAAAACAGACACTATGAAACAAGCAAAGGAGCCAGGCTCGGTGGCTCATGCCTGCAATCCCAAAACTTTGGGAGGCCAAGGAGGGTAGATCACTTGAGGTCAGGAGTTCAAGACCATCCTGGGCAACATGGAGAAACCCCATCTCTACAAAAAATACAAAAATTAGCCTGGCGTGGTGACACATGCCTATAGTCCCAGATACTCAGGAGGCTGAGGCAGGAGAATCATGAACCCAGGAGGCAGGGGTTGCAGTGAGCCAGAGATTGCACCACTACACTCCAGCCTGGGTGAAACAGCAATACTCTGCCTCAAAGAAAAAAAAAAGAAAAGAAAAGAAAAGTAAGGAGACTGTGAAGGAAAGTGTATTCAATTTTACCTGAAGATGAGTTTTTTAAAAGCTTTCTAGAAAAGTATCCTGAGAACAAAGACTATATATTCTATTGGCTCTTATGTCAGATATATTAATGCAGAGGCATAAACTTAACACATTTTCCCAACACAAAAATAGGAAAAGGGCTCTCCCTTCTAATATATTATTTCCTCTATTCTTTTAAATTTTCAGTTTAATATTTTTCATTTAAAAAAAGTGATATTATATAATAAGTCTGGAAAAGAGAGGGGGAAAACAACTGAATTTTGTTTTCCCTCTGTATTTTCAGCATGGTTTACATTATTTTTAAACAGATCACTGAAAATCTAAAAAGTCAGAATAATTATGAGATATATAGTTTATTACATCTGTTGCAACAATCACTAAGGCTAAAGTGACACAAAGCAAAGGGGCATTTAAACTTTTAAAACTCAACCACCTAATAGGATAACTATTAAACTTCTGTGTATTCACTTCTAGACTCTATGTACATAGCCACAAATCAATGAGATTCAAAAAATATCACATCCTACTTTTTCACTAAGCACCATATCAGATATCTTTATTTTGCTTTATAGTTTTCATAAGCACAAATTCATCTGCTGCAAAACATTCCTTGAGTAGACGTTTCTTAAAATAATCATTCCTACAATGTTAGAATTTCATGTTGTTTCCAATTTTTCACTTACATAAACATCTTTTTATTAAACATGTTATAAGGTCTTTTATTATCTTCTCCCTGACAAATTCCTAGCATTCAGGTCAGGAGGTCAAAGAGCATAAACACCTGACTTATTTCATTACATAGTATCAATTTATTTCCCTCAAAATTGGACCCATTTATAAGTTACCAGGAAAGTAAATATCCAGTTTGACCAAATTATTTTGCAAACATATCCCTTATGTACTAAAATCCACACTCCAGTATAATTCTTCTTTCCCTTTATTTAGCCTGGTTAATCCTCTGAAATCATACCCATTAGGTCTTTCACATTCCATCATTCACAAAAGTATGCATCTATAGTGAAGGCCACCTAGTCGAGAATTTCCTAAGAAACTCTCACATCTTTTCAAGTAGTTTTGAATATAAGTCTCAAGGTGCATTTACAATAATCCTGAGAGAGAAGACAAATATTACTAAGATTGATGAACGAAACTATGTCTGTTTCTTAGGAGACAGAGCTATTGCTGAGGAGGACTGAAGACTTACTCTAAGAGCCACTTATGCTTGAGCAGAGGAGAGGAAAAAGTTAGGGCCCAATCTCCATTTCTCCTCTTGAACATTTTAACATTTTTACTTTATAATGATGTTTAATGAAATTTTTGTATTCAATAAAGATAAACATAAAGGATCCATTAAGGAAAGCAAAATGTGTATTAATATTGACAAACCACAAACAAAATCAACATAAGCCAAGTTTTAAGCCACTATATTCTTCAGAGCACTAGATAGGTTATCTTCTCCTGCTCTTTCTGACCTGTGTGTGCATTTACTACTCAAGAATACCAACCAGAGTTTTATGATGCAATAAATTTGTTTTGCCAGAAAACATCTGCAGCTAATAGTAAACCATATTTAAAATGACAGTAGACCAAGGGGGAATACCAAACAAATTCTAAAAATAAAAAATGCAGTAACAATTTTTTTTAAGTTTAGATAGGTTTATACAGAAGATCAGACAACACTGAAGAGGCAGAGCTGGAAGACAGATCAGAAAAAATAAACAGAAAGTAGCAAAAATGAAGACAGAAAATATAGAGGAAGGTTTAAGAGATACAGAAAACAGAATGAGAAATAAATCTGTATTCCAGAAGGAGACAAGAGAGGGAACAGAGACAAGGCAATATCTAAGGAACAACAGCTGAGAATTTTTCAAAACTGGTAAACTGAAGTAGACTGTTAAAGCAACAACACCCAGTGATCATGATTCTCTACAGCCACACTCTTGTGTAGTCCCCTCCCACATCAACTCTGGGCTTGGCAACATGAGTTGCTTTGAGATAAACGTTGAGCAAAATGATGAACAGAGTCCTAGAAAGTTGTGTGTTAGGGTGAGCCCTCTTAGAATGCTGGTACCATGAGAGCCCAGAATTGCTTGCTGAAGACATATGGCCCAACCAACAGAAAACATACACAGTCAAACACATGAATGAGGCCATCTTTGGCCATCCAATTCAAGAAGCTCTAAGACTGCAGCCCAAGTGAGACCAGAAGTACGAGGCAGCTAAGCCAAGTCCAAATTGCTGACCCACAGTATCATGAGCAAATAAAAGAATACTTGTTTTAAACCATTCGCTTTTGGAGTGGTTTATAACACAACAATGTTTAAGTGATTTGTACCTAAAAGTAGGGTGTTGCCATAACATAAACCTAAAATACACGGTATTCGCTTTAGAAGCCAGGCGTGGGTGGAGGCTGGAAAAATGGCAGGAGTCTGTTATAAAACTTGGAAAATGACAAGCTGTTAGTTAAGTCAGAAAGCAATGAGGTAGTTGTTCTTGAAAATGGAAAACTTACATCACATGGAATGTATTCTTTGACTACAATGTAATTAAACTAGGATCAGTATCAATAAAGAAACAATCTGAAAATTCAAAAATGTTTGTAAACTAAAAATTATAAATAACCCATAGGTCAAAGAAGAAATCATAATAAAAAATTCTAAACTAAATAACAAAAATACCACATATTGAAATTTACAAGCCACTGTTAAAAACAGATTTAAAGAAAAATATATACATTTTAATGCTTATATTAGAAAACAAAGGCTAAATTAGGCATTAGCTCCACCACAAGAGGTTAAAACTATAACACACACACACAAAAATCCCAAGGACATACAAAGAAATTTTCAAAATAACAGAAATTAATTTTAAAAGTCTGATAGAAAAGCTCAACAAAGCCAAAAGATAAAACAGAATCTTGTCAAGATTGATCAAATTTTAAAAAGAGAGAAGTTGTAAACAGTGTCAAGAATAAAGAGTGATAGCTAAAGATGTCAGAAATTACAAACAGAAAAATTATTGACGGCCGGGCGCAGCGGCTAACGCCTGTAATCCCAACACTTTGGGAGGCCGAGGCGGGTGGATCACGAGGTCAAGAGATCGAGACCATCCTGGTCAACATGGTGAAACCCCATCTCTACTAAAAATACAAAAAATTAGCTGGGCATGGTGGCGCGTGCCTGTAATCCCAGCTACTCAGGAGGCTGAGGCAGGAGAATTGCCTGAACCCAGGAGGCGGAGACTGCAGTGAGCCGAGATAGCGCCATTGCACTCCAGCCTGGGTAACAAGAGCGAAACTCTGTCTCAAAAAAAAAAAAAAAAAAAAAAAAGAAAAGAAAAGTTATTGACAATTTCACACCAATAACATTACAAATTTAGATAAAATACAAAATTTGTCCAAAAATATTGAAACTGATTCATGAAGAATTTTATAACTGTTAAAGAAATTAAATAATTTATAAAAAATCTTCCTACAAACAAAACTGGAGGCCTAGATGACTTACCAACTCTACCAAATATTTATAAAAAGTCTACCAAAATAAAAAATGCTAATGAAACTTTGATATCAAACTTAACAAGAACAGAATAAGAAACTGTAGGCTATTTTTACCCATAAACATGAATGTAAACTCCCTTAACCTTTTTTTTTTTTTTTAGCCAGAGTCTTGCCCAGGATGGAATACAATGGCACGATCTCAGCTCCCTGCAACCTCCACCTCCCAGGTTCAAGCGACTCCCCTGCCTCAGCCTCTCAAGTAACTGGGATTACAGGCACTCACCACAATGCCTGGCTAAGTTTTGTATTTTGAGAAGAGGTGGGGTTTCACCACGGTGGCCAGGCTGGTCTCGAACTCCTGACCTCAAATGATCCACCCACCTCAGCCTCCCAAAGGCCTGGGATTACAGGCTCAAGTGAGCCACCATGCTTGGCAACTTCCTTAATGTTATAAAGGTTATCTAGTAATACAAAAAGAGCTACACTATTCTATTAAGTGGTGAAATAATGAAACAATTTCCTTTGCATATAGCAGTCCTAGTCAGAAATAAAACTGTAATCGTTTGCAGACAACTGTGTTAACATAAAAGAATTAACAGATATTACTAATATATGTCTAGCAAGATTACTGACTAAAAATTAATTGTATTTCTGTCTATATATACAATAAATAAAACAAAAATAATAATATTAAAGATATTGCTAAGAGTAATAACAAAAAATAAAGATGGAGGTCCTCTGAGCTCCCATAGCTCCCAATGCTGGGCAATACATTTTGGCATTAAACAGCTTCAGGACCAGGAATATATTTTTACATTCCCAGTGCCTAGCATGCAATAGTAGGCACATAGTAAAATGTTTGTTTAATGAACGGGTAAAATACTTTATGAGCCATTAAAACCATCCAATAAACATAAATAAAATACTGCAATTAATTTATTATTATTGGAAGTTAGTGACATATAAGCTAAGAAAATCACCTTGAAAAATCCCCCAAATACTGAAGTGGCATAAGTTTGCATATATAGTATCCAAATTAACATTTACCACAGTAAAGCAAGTAAGAACCAAGTAATTCAAGTAATTACACACAATACCCTCTGTATACTGTGCAACTGATTTCCACATAAAGGAAATGTATAGCTCACTCCATTTCATTAACAAAGCATTCATTGTCCTGATAATGAAAACATCATCTCAAGCAGGGCAACTTAAAACTTAATAGTTCTTTAATGTAATGTAATAGTTCTTTAATGTACCTTCTTATTGTTTTCTGAAGTAGGGCTGAGAATGGTCAGTTCTGGTCTACTTGGTTTAGGCTTTGGAGATTCACAAGAATTAATGAAATTCATGATAAAAGGTTCCAAATGCTGACCTTTCTGTGGTGATAATTTTGAGAAAATAACAAATAAGGATGATTTTTAGTAAATAATCCATCAAAATTCATCAATATTTAAATGTTTATGATTATCATGTTATAGAACACATAAATCAGTTATTCACCTCTTTCATTAGTTTTCCAGGAACAGACTTTATAATTTTCCCTGCAATTGAAAGTAAAACATTATTTTAGGAAGACAATACTCTTCATAATTGCTCATATGAATACTTCACCAGGTAATTTTAAATACGAAATAGCCAAGTTAAAACTGTAAAAGTCTTTATGATCGACCATTTCATACTCCATAGAAATTTTCAATAAATATGGTATCCTGAAATATTTATAGATATAATATTTGGAATTTATTTTAAAATAATCCAGTGAAATCGTGGTGGGAGAAGAGACAGAACAAGTCAAATATTGATAAGTCGAGTGAGAAGTTTAATATACAATTTTGTCTAATTTGTGTTGATTTGAAAATTTCTGTAGGAAAAGTTTCCAAAAGATTTTCAGTAACAGTGAACATATAACAGTATCTAAAGATATGCAAACACCAGTCAAAAAAGAAGTTTTAAAAATTGCCTTGGTTTTTTGAACCAAGATGGCCAATTAGGAGCAGCTCAGGACTGCAGCTCCCAGCGGAAAGTGCCAAGGATGAGTGGACGCCGCACTTCCAGACAGATTTTTATTGCCCACAGACCAGGAGATTCCCAGGCGAAGGAGCCTCACGGGTCGCCGGTGCGGCTGCTTTGGCCACCCGGCTGTTTGGGCAGGCATAACTGTTTTTGCCCGGCAGCGCGACTGTTTTGGCCGGTGTGGCTGTTTCGCTGGCACTCCAGCGCAGTGGTTCTCCATACAAAACACATGGGTCAGGATGCCATTTAAGCTAGCAATTGGAGCTCCGGGAAGGCAGAGTCACCCATTCATCTGATTAAAAAGGGGACTGAAACAGGAAGCCAGGCCAGGAGATTCCCAGGCAAAAAAGCACCACAAATCTCAGCGCGACTGTTTCAGCCGACGCAGTGGGTCACTGCACAGGAAATCACACAGATCTTGGCGCCTTTTCAACAGGCAACTGGAACACCTGAGAGACAGTTGACCGTTCAACTACAAAAAAAAAAAAAAAAAAGAGGGCTCTGAGGCAGGGAGCCAGGTGATCAGGCTCGACTGGTCCCACCCCCACACAAAAAAACAGCAATTGGAAATGCTCTGAAATGAGCGTTTCACAGCAAGGACAGCTGAACCCGGAACAGTTCAGCCCTGTGGGGGAGGGGTGTCCACCATTACCGAGGCAGTCCACCACTACAGAGGTACTTAACCATTGCTAAGGCAGCCCACCATTACCGATGCAGCCTGCCATTACAGACAGAGTCCACCATTATAGGGGTGGGCTGCCATTGCGGAGGCAGTTCTAACTATACTTATATAAAAAGGACTGCAGGGAAGTTCACATGGCTGCTGGGCAGAGCCCAGAGCAGCTGAGCAAAGCCTCTGGAGGCAGACAGTGACTAGGCTGCCTCCTTGCTGGGCAGGGCAGCCCTAAAAAAAGGCAGCAGCACAATAAAAACTCACACATAAAGCCCTAACTCCCAAGGACAGAGCACCTGGGAAAAAAAAAGAGGGTTCTATGAGTTCTGCCGCAGCAGACTTAAACGTACCTGCCTAACAGCTCTGAAAGAACAAGGGAGCTCACTGCTCAGCACTTGAGCTCCTATAAAGACAGACTGTCTCCTCAAGCACCTCCCTGACCCCTATAAATACACAGAGTCACCTCATAAAGGAGAACTCAGCCTAACATCTGGAGGGTATACTTCTGGAACAAAAATAGCAGAAGAAACTGGCAGAAACCCTTACTGTTCTGCAGCTGCTGCAGGTGATCCCCAGGCAAGCAGGGCCTGGAGTGGACCTCAGCAGTCCTACAGCAGAGAGGCCAGACTGTTAGAAAAAAAAAAAAAAAAAACCAGAAAGAAATAACTTCATCATCAACAAACTGGACGTACACTCAGAGACCTAATCTGAAAGCCAACAACTAAAAAGACAACAGGGGGATAAATCCACAAAGATGAGAAGAAACCAGCGCAACAAGGAGGAAAACACCTAAAACCAGAACGCCTCTCCTCCTACAAGAGATCACAACTCCTCTCCAGCAAGGGAACAAGGCTAGATGGAGAATGAGTGTGATGAATTGAAAGAATGAAGCTTCAGAAGATAGGTACTAACAAACTTCTGTGAGCGTAAAGAACATGTTCTAACCCAATGCAAACAAACTAAGAACCTTGAAAAAAGATTTGACAAAATGCTAAGGAGAATAAACAACTTAGAGAGGAATATAAGTGAATTGATGGAGCTGAAAAACACAACACGAGAACTTCACGAAGCATACACAAGTTTCAACAGCCAAACTGACCAAACAGAAGAAAGGATATCAGAGGTCGAGGATCAACTCAATAAAACGAGAAGGTAAGGTTAGAGAAAAAAGCGCAAAAAGGAATGAACAAAGTCTCCAAGAAATGTTAGACTATGTGAAAAGACCTAATCTACGTTTGATAGGTGTACCTAAATGTGACAGAGAATGAATCCAAGCTGGAAAATACTCTTCAGGATATTATCCAGGAAAACGTCCCCAACCTAGCAAGACAGGCCAACATTCAAGTCCAGGTAATACAGAGAACACCACAAAGATATTCCTCAAGAAGAACAACCCCAAGGCACATAATCGTCAGATTCACCAGGGTTAAAATGAAGGAGAAAATACTAAGGGCAGCCAGAGAGAAAGGTTGGGTCACCCACAAAGGGAAGACCATCAGAATCACAGCAGATCTCTCAGCAGAAACCCTACAAGCAAGAAGAGAGTGGGGGCCAATATTCAACATCCTTAAAGAAAAGAACTTTCAACCCAGAATTTCAAATCCAGTCAAATTAAGCTTCATAAGTGAAGGAAAAATAAAATCCTTTGCAAACAAGCAACTACTCAGATTTCATCACCAAGAGGCCTGCTTTACAAGAACTCCTGAAAGAGGCACTACACATAGAAAGGAACAACCAGTACCAGCCAATCCAAAAACATACAAAATAATAAAGAGCATCAACACAATGAAGAAACCATCAGCTAATGGGCAAAATAGCCAGCTAGCATCAAAATGGCAGGATCAAATTTACACATAACAATATTAACCCTAAATGTAAATGGACTAAATGCCCTAATCAAAAGACACAGACTGGCAAATTAAATAAAAAGCCAAAACCCATCAGTGTGCTGTATCTAGGAAACCCATCTCACATGCAAGGATACACAAAGGCTCAAAATAAAGGGATGGAAGAAGATTTACCAAGCAAATAGAGAGCAAAAATAGCAGGAGTTGCAATTCTCATCTCTGATAAAACCTACTTGAAACCAAGAAAGATCAAAAGAGACAAAGAAAGATATTACATAATGGTAAAAGGATCAATGCAACAAGAAGAGCTAATGATCCTAAATATACACACACCCAATACAGGAGCACCCAGATACATAAGGCAAGTTCTTAATGACTTACAGAGACTTAGACTCCCACACAATAATAGTGGGAGACTTTAACACCCCATTGTCAATATTAGACACATCAACCAGACAGAAAATTAACAAGGATATCCAGGACTTGAACTCAGACCTGGACCAAGCAAACCTGATAGACATTTACAGAACTCTCCACCCCAAATCCACAGAATATACATTCTTCTCAGCAGCACATCACACTTACTCTAAAATTGACCACATAATTGGAAGTAAAGCACTCCTCAGCAAATGCAAAAGAACAGAAATCATAACAAACAGTCTCTCAGACCACAGTGCAATCAAGTTAGAACTCAGAATTCAGAAACTAACTCAGAACCGCACAGTTTCATGGAAGCTGAACAACTGGCTCTTGAAAGATGACTGGATAAACAATAAAATGAAGACGGAAATAAAGATGTTCTCCAATACCAACCAGAACAAAGACACAACATACCAGAATCTCTGGGACACATTTAAAGCAATCTCTAGAGGAAAACATATGGCAATAAGTGCCCACATGAGAAGCAAGAAGAGATCTAAAATTGACACCCTATCATCAAAATTAAAAGAGCTAGAGGAGCAAGATCAAAAAAACTCAAAACCTAGCAGAAGACAAGAAATAACTAAGATCAAAACAGAGCTGAAGAAGACAGAGACACAAAAACCCTTCAAAAAATCAATAAATCCAAGAGCTGGTTTTTCGAAAAGAACAAAATAGACCACTAGCCAGATTAATAAAAAAGAAAAGACAAATACCAAACCTTATTTGCCTGCACACCACTGCCTTTTCCCTTTTCTTCATTAAAAAAAAAAAAAAAGAAAAGAAAAGAGAGAATAACCAAATAGATGCAACAAAGAAAGATAAAGGGGGTATCACCACCGATTCCACAGAAATTCAAACCATCATCAGAGATTATTACAAACAACTCTATGCACATGAACTAGTAAACCTGGAAGAAATGGATAAATTACTTGCATCCTCACAAGCCCAAACCAGGAAGAATTCGAAATCTTGAATAGATCAACAACAAGGTCTGAAGTTGAGGCAGTAATTAAGAGCCTACCACACAAAAAAAGCCCAGGTCCAGATGGGTTCACAGACGAACTCTACCAGACATACAAAGAGGATCTGGTACCATTCCTTCAGAAACTACTCCAAACAGTCCAAAAAGAGGGAATCCTTCCCAAATCATTTTATGAGACCAACATCATCCTGATACCAAAACCCAGCAGAGAGTCAGCAAGAAAAGAAAACTTCAAGCCAATATCCATGATGAACATAGATGCAAAAGTCTTCAATAAAATACTGGCAAACCGATTGCAACAGCACATCAAAAAGCTTATCCACCATGATCAAGTAGGATTCATTCCGGGAATGCAAGGCTGGTTCAACATACGCAAGTCTATAAGCCAAATAATTCACCAAATAAACAGAATCAAAGACAAAAAACACATGATTATCTCAATTGACGCAGAGAAGGCCTTTGACAAAATTCAACGGCCCTTTATGCTAAAAACTCTCAATAAACTAGGTATTGACAGAACAGATATCAAAATAATAAAAGCTATTCACAACAAACCAACAGCCAGTATCATACTGGAAGGGAAAAAACTGGAAGCATTCCCTT